AACCGAGCTTTTTCACTCTGGAAGTCAGTATAGCGGATGTCAGTATGGCGAGAAAGAGGGTGTATAGCGGCCCAAACGAGAAAACCCGCCAAGTAAGCCGCTCATTCAGCTCCGAACCAAAGTTAGGGTTCCAATTCGGGCGACCAGAAAGTTGGATCGCTTCAACTCTGTCCCGATGTTGCGGCGTGGCGTACAGAACGAAGTTACTTTCAGACCACATGTGTTCACTGGCTAGAACTAAATATTACAGACATTAGCCTTTCAAACTCTAGCCCACCATTTTTCAGCCGCGATTTTGTATCAACTACTCTCAATTCGAGGACTCTGGAGTTTTCGCCATCACCATTCGCCCCCGACGCCATCCATCATCTCGCTTCCATCCACGCCCCCGCCCCCCGCCCGGCCTACCTCTGAAACTCCAGAGGTAAGCCTTGTTACGTCAAGTTTTTTCTGCACTTATGCACCATTATGTTTCCTTGTCCTTGTTGGTTCATGGTCTGACATTTTTTTTTTTGTTTGTTTTCTTGCAGGCACAAAGACTTGGTGTTCACACCAATCTACTCCAAAGACCAATGGCAAGGAAGAGAATCACAAGAGCCAACCTGCTCACGAAGATCCATCGGGACTTCACGAAGATCCACCATTCCTGGAGATCCGTTGTGAGATCTGCTCACAAAGCTCCACTATCGCTTCAATCAACCTTGGAGAACCACCATCCCGCCAACTTCCAACTTCAACCCGCCGCGCCACCCACTCCCCGCCCTCCGCTCAGCTAACCTGCCTATCTCCAAAGGTAAGAAGAGCTTCGTTTTTCAGCACTTGCACTTTATTTTTCTTTAAATGTATTTCGTTGTTCCTTGGGCAACCGTGTTCTGACTTTTTTTCCTTTGTACCTCTTCAGGTTCATTCTTGAGCCTGGCAAGAGGAGAAGTACAAGCTGACGAAGCCTGATTCAACCTGACGAAGATCCACCACGACTTGGAGATACGACCCTGGAGATCCGACCCATCACCAACATCCGACCCATCATCAACATTTACCCGCTTTCATCCCGCCCGCCCCCGCCCCCCGCCCGGCCTACCTCACGATCTCCAGAGGTAAGCTTTTTCATGCTTTACAATTTCGTGCTTTTCATGCTTACAATTTCTGAAATCTTCAGTTCTGATTCAAAATTGATACGATTCTAACTCATTGCTGTGCCAACCCCTGCAGGTGCTAACATCAATGGGCCTCGAGCTGAACATCAACGGGCCTTGAGCTGAAAATCAACGAGCCTCGAGCTGAGCATGAGCGCCAACGGGCTTCTGGAGTTCTACCACGGCCATTCGCCCCCACCAACGCCAACCTACAACGCCGTTCCGTCCACGCACTCGCCCCCTGCCCAGCCTGCCATTAAAACTCCAGAGGTAAGATAAACGCTCGTGCTTTACATGCTTTACAATTTCGTGCTTTCCATGCTTTACTATTTCATGCTTCAGACTTGATTCTAATTTGATACGATTCTAACTCATTGCTGTTGCAACCCCTGCAGGTTCATTCTCAACGGGCCTTGAGCATCAAGGCATTGAGCTCCGACTTCAAGCCTTCAATCTGCAATGGAGGCCTTGTTGATTCGCCTTCAACCCGGATATGCAATGGTGGCCAGCCGCGATTCGTCTCAAACTGGGAAGTCCCTTTCCCTTCTCTTCCCCTCGTTTCGTCGTTTATTTTCATTGTTTTCACCCATCCACCGTTTCCATCGCACTTACCGCTCCACCGCCCCTCTGATACGTGCGTCTGCGGCTTGTAGACGATCCTCCTCGGGCTTGGGTAGAATAGCAGTCGGGTTTGGGTAGAATAGCGCGTCTCCTCCCTCTGCAAGCCGCAGTCCACGTATCATGGGCGTCGTTTCCCGCCATGTTTTGTTCTCCTTTGTCGTTTGTTTCGTTTTTGAATTTCGCATTTTGGTCTTTTGTTTCTCTTTGCTTTCAATCTTCCATAGCTTTTTACTAACTTCGTGCTTTTGCCTTTGTTTCCTCCCCTCGTTTTTCAGCAACAAGGGAACGGGGTTGCAGCAAAGCATCAGTGGAGCTTCAACTCGCGTTTAACCTTCAACCCGCGTTCAACCTTCAACCCGCGTTCAGCCTTCAACTTGCTGCTGTGTTCAGCAACAACTGGGAAGTACCGTTCCCCTCGTCGTTTTCAGTTCCTCCATCGTTTTGCACCCTGTTCACTCGTTTTTCACGTCGCGTTTTTCCACCGTCTCTCTGATTCGTCTCGGCTGCATCTAGCGGATGATCCTCCGCGGGTTTTGGGTAGCATAGAGTGGGTGGGTAGCATAGATCCTCCCTCTGCTGATGCAGCCAGCGAATCATGGACGTTCACTGTTTTCCCGCCACCTTGTTTTGCATTTCGTTATCTTCTTGTTTGTATTTTTTATTAACTTCGTGCTCATTTCGTTACCTTCCCGCCACTTTGTCTTTCCCACTGTTTTTCAGACTTGAAGCGACACCTTCAAGTGGCGGATTTTTTCAACACCTTCAAGCGGCGGATAAACACCTTCAAGAGGCGGATCAACTGCTTTAACACTCGTGAGTTTCCTGTTTTACGTTTTTCATAAGCCATTTTAAAATCCTGTTATTCTCCATTTAGTATTGTCACCATTTATAATGCCATTTTCAGTGTCTTAACTTTATTCTTGTGATCTGTGCAGATCCAAGGCGGATCAACCCTCTTGGCGCGCGGATCAGCCCCTTGGCGCGCGGATCAACTCCTTGAAGCGCGGATCAACTCCTTGAAGCGCGGATCAACTCCTTGAAGCGCGGATCAACTCCTTGAAGCGCGGATCAACTCCTTGAAGCGCGGATCAACTCCTTGAAGCGCGGATCAACTCCTTGAAGCGCGGATCAACTCCTTGGCGCGCGGATCAACTCCTTGGCGCGCGGATCAACTCCTTGGCGCGCGGATCAACTCCTTGGCGCGCGGATCAACTCCTTGGCGCGCGGATCAACTCCTTGAAGCGCGGATCAACCCCTTGGCGCGCGGATCAGCCCCTTGGCGCGCGGATCAACCTGGCAGCAACAGCATCATTGGTCTTCACGGCAGCAGCAGTCTTAACGGTCTTCACGGCAGCAGCAGGTCTTCACGGCAGCAGCAGGTCTTCACGGAAGCAGTAGTTTTAACGGTCATCACGGCAGCAGCAGGTCTTCACGGCAGTAGCAGTCTTAACGGTCTTCACAGCAGCAGCAGGTCTTCACGGCAGCAGCAGTCTTAACGGTCTTCACGGCAGCAGCAGTCTTAACGGTCTTTACGGCAGCAGCAGTCTTCACGGTCTTCACGGCAGCAGCATGTCTTAATGGTCTTCACAGCAGCAGCAGGTCTTCACGGCAGCAGCAGCCTTTACGGTCTTCACGGCAGCAGCAGTCTTAACGGTCTTCACGGCAGCAGCAGGTTTTCACGGCAGCAGCAGTCTTTACGGTCTTCACGGCAGCAGCAGTCTTTACGGTCTTCACGGCAGCAGCAGTCTTAAAGCTCTTCACGGCAGCAGCAGTCTTAACGGTCTTCACAGCAGCAGCAGGTCTTCACGGCAGCAGCAGGTCTTCACGGCAGCAGAAGGTCTTCACGGCAGCAGCAGTCTTAACGGTCTTCACGGCAGCAGCAGGTCTTCACGGCAGCAGCAGGTCTTCACGGCAGCAGCAGTCTTAACGGTCTTCACGGCAGCAGCAGGTCTTCACGGCAGCAGCAGGTCTTCACGGCAGCAGCAGTCTTAACGGTCTTCACGGCAGCAGCAGGTCTTCACGGCAGCAGCAGTCTTAACGGCCGTCACAGCAGCAGCACGGCAGCAGCAGGTCTTCACGGCAGCAGCAGTCTTAACGGTCTTCACGGCAGCAGCAGTTTCAACCCCTTGGCGACAACCCTTTAACGGTAGCAGCAGACCACCCCTTCAACGGCAGCAGCAGACCACCCCTTCAACGGCAGCAGCAGACCACCCCTTCAACGGCAGCAGCAGATGTAGCAGGACAACACCGACGACGCAGCAGATGTAGCAGGACAACACCGACGACGCAGCAGATGTAGCAGACGCAGCAGACGGTGGTTGCAAGGGAGCGAATAAGTCAATTCAGCAGCCGCACTGAACCAGCCGCGAATCCGTGAAGGGAGCAGACGAGGTGGGAGAAGCGGCCCAAAACCTTTGGCAGAGCGGTGGCGAGGGGTAGACTGGGATGGTGGGTGGCGTGGAGAGACAAAAGGCAACTGAGTGTGCATGCCCAGGCCAAGGGGCTGTGGCATACGTTGCTCGGGAAGCCTCAAGGGAATGTGTGATGGAATCTGGTCTTGACCAGCATGATTCTGACTGCAGCAGAATCATGTTCGCAAGATACCACATATTCCAGGTAGCAATTCCCTTGGGGTGGCTCCGGCATCACAAGTTTTTCCTCACTGGCGTGGGTGAGGAAGACTTGATGTCACGGGCTTTTCCACACTGGCGTGGGTGTGGAGGGTCCTTTCCTCTTGGTGCCTTTTGGATCTTACGCTACTCGCCGAACAGTCATTACCTCAAAACCGTGATGCTGAGGAGGGAGTGAAAGTGGGGAAACTGCTTTTAAGGGAGGAGGGAAGCTGCTAAGGAAGATGCAAAGGGCTGCTAACGAAGCTGCTAAGGAAGCTGCTAAGGGCTGCTAAGGAAGCTGCTAAGAGGTTGCTAAGGGCTGCTAAGGAAGCTGCTAAGAGGCTACCAAGGAAGCTGCTAAGAGCTGCTAAGGGCTGCTAAGGAAGCTGATAAGGGCTGCTAAGGAAGCTGCTAAGGGCTGCTAAGGAAGCTGATAAGGGCTGCTAAGGAAGCTGCTAAGGGCTGCTAAGGAAGCTGATAAGGGCTGCTAAGGAAGCTGATAAGGGCTGCTAAGGAAGCTGCTAAGGGTTGCTAAGGAAGGTGTTAAGGGCTACTAAGGAAGGTGTTAAGGGCTACTAAGGAAGATGCTAAGGGCTGCTAAGGAAGCTGCTAAGGGCTACTAAGGAAGACGCTAAGGGCTGCTGCCAAGGGGAGAAGGGGTGAAGCAGCAGAGAAGGGGTGAAGCAGCAGAGAAGGGGTGAAGCAACAGAGAAGGGGTGAAGCAGCAGAGAAGGGGTGAAGCAGCAGAGAAGGGGTGAAGCAGCAGAGAAGGGGTGAAGCAGCAGAGAAGGGGTGAAGCAGCAGAGAAGGGGTGAAGCAGCAGAGAAGGGGTGAAGCAGCAGAGAAGGGGTGAAGCAGCAGAGAAGGGGTGAAGCAGCAGAGAAGGGGTGAACAGCAGAGAAGGGGTGAAGCAGCAGAGAAGGGGTGAAGCAGCAGAGAAGGGGTGAAGCAGCAGAGGAGGGGTGTGAAGCAGAGAGGAGTGTGAAGCAGAGAGGGTGTGAAGCAGAGAGGGGGTGTGAAGCAGAGGAGGGGTGTGAAGCAGAGGAGGGGTGTGAAGCAGAGAGGGGGTGTGAAGCAGAGAGGGGGTGTGAAGCAGAGAGGGGGTGTGAAGCAGAGAGGGGGTGTGAAGCAGAGAAGGGGGTGTGAAGCAGAGAAGGGGGTGTGAAGCAGAGAAGGGGTGTGAAGCAGAGAAGGGGGTGTGAAGCAGAGAAGGGGGTGTGAAGCAGAGAAGGGGGTGTGAAGCAGAGAAGGGGGTGTGAAGCAGAGAAGGGGGTGTGAAGCAGAGAAGGGGGTGTGAAGCAGAGAAGGGGGTGTGAAGCAGAGAAGGGGTGTGAAGCAGAGAAGGGGTGTGAAGCAGAGAAGGGGTGTGAAGCAGAGAAGGGGTGTGAAGCAGAGAAGGGGTGTGAAGCAGAGAGGGGGTGTGAAGCAGAGAGGGGGTGTGAAGCAGAGGAGGGGGTGTGAAGCAGAGGAGGGGGTGTGAAGCAGAGGAGGGGTGCAAAGCAGAGGAGGGGTGTGAAGCAGAGGAGGGGTGTGAAGCAGAGGAGGGGTGTGAAGCAGAGAAGGGGTGTGAAGCAGAGGAGGGGTGTGAAGCAGAGAAGGGGTGTGAAGCAGAGAAGGGGTGTGAAGAAGAGAAGGGGTGTGAAGAAGAGAAGGGGTGTGAAGCAGAGGAGGGGTGTGGAGCAGAGGAGGGATGTGAAGCAGAGGAGGGGTGAGAAGCAGAGGAGGGGTGTGAAGCAAAGGAGGGGTGTTTGCCGAGCACGGCCGTGTCCTAGTTAGAGGGTCTCAGCCCGTCAGCAAGCCATTGAATGGATGAAGCAAATCATAGATCAAAGATATCCAGGTTTCAAGCAGATCCAGTAGTGGTAGTAGCCGTGTAGCAGAAGGGGTGAAGCGTAGAACTCCCTCTGCATAGAAGGTGTTTTGTAGTTGCAGTAGCTGTTATAGCTGAAGGAGGAGAGAAGGGGCGGATGGGTGGATGAGGTGATGGGTGGAGAAATGAATCTGATGTGGCATATCAAGCCATACTGGGGTGTACATTGGAATGTGTAGTCGCTGTTATAGCTGATAGTGAACCAGGTACTCTTATGCATATGCCTTGCTTTGCATCAGTTTTGTCTGGATTTTGATGTACATATTATCAGATGCTTGCATGCAAAATGCACAATCTGTGGGGTCTGAAACTCTGTTATTAGATTTGCTGACATTTTGCTTCTCTCTGGCTGCCGAAATGGGCCCAGATAGGAAATCTTGTAGTGCCACGAACTTGCAGCGCACTTTATTGCATCTCCTCGTCTCATCGCCCTTGGTTGCCGAAATGGGCCCAGATAGGATATCTGCGTATGATTTGCTTAGCGTACGTAGAAACCTGGATATCTTCCAGCAGTCTCCTGCTGCTCGTTCAGATGCTATTATCCCTTCGTTCTGTCTTCTATGGACATGTGCTTTCAGCGCTCCTCTTTGCGTCGTGCGCGCCAAGCTGATTAGACATGGATGCGCAAAAGCGCTTTATCTCTCCCGCATCGGATGATACATAGAATAATTAGCCATGGACGCCCCATGGAAAATACTGAACTCCCGCGTCGCCCTTGACGGTATTAGCGTATCATTTGTACATTGCGCAGAAATCCGAAAAGTTTTCAGCTTCCTCTTGCCGTTATTTCAGAGGTATAGTATTTATTGGAATTTCTTTCTATCTTCCGAAAACATGGAACTTTCTGCGCTCGTCGTTGCGTCTCGCACGCCAAGCACGAGCTGCGCGAAAGCGCTTCGTCGTCCGCGGGACTGGTAACCGCATCCGTGGTGGACGATTTCGCAGTATCAGCGCCGAGACTGATAACCGCCGCGACCGATTTCGCAGTATCGGCGACATTGACGAATGCGGTTACCAGTCCTGCGGACGTTGCTTCTCAAAGCACCCGCTGTCAAATGTTATTATAGGTTCTTAGGCTACAGTGAGTAGCACTCTAGGGAGTACAACACTTTTAGGGTTGCTATTTGTATCCCTTGTTTCCCTAGTTCACACATTCCGTTGCATTCCTACTTTGAGATGGTATCACGAGTAGGTTAGTTCCTCGTTACTTCCTAGCCCGCGCCCTCTCTAGCGCACCTCCGCGCCCTCCGCGCCCTCCGCGCCTTAGGCTCCGTGCCCTCTGCACCCTCTCCGCGCCCTAGCGCCCTCCTCCTCCGCGCGTCAGCGCCCTCCGCGCCCCTAGCTCATGTTTTCGGCCCGCACGCCTTAGCGCCCTCCGTGCCCCTAGCCCGCGCCGTCGCGGACCTCCGCGCCTAGCGCCCTCCGCGCCCCTAGCCCGCGCCGTCGCGGACCACCGCGCCTAGCGCCCTCCGCGCCCCTAGCCCGCGCCATCGCGGACCTCCGCGCCTAGCGCCCTCTGCGCCCCTAGCCCGTCGCCCAGGCCCGCGCCCTAGCCCGTCGCCCAGGCCCGCGCCCTAGCCCGTCGCCCAGGCCCGCGCCCTAGCCCGTCGCCCAGGCCCGCGCCCTGGCCCCTCGCCCAGGCCCGCGCCCTAGCCCGTCGCCCAGGCCCGCGCCCTGGCCCGTCGCCCAGGCCCGCGCCCTAGCCCGTCGCCCCAGCCCGCGCCCTGGCCCGTCGCCCCAGCCCGCGCCCTGGCCCGTCGCCCCAGCCCGCGCCCTGGCCCGTCGCCCCAGCCCGCGCCCTAGCCTGTCGCCCCAGTCCGCGCCCTGGCCTGTCGCCCCAGCCCGCGACCTAACCCGTCGCCCCAGCCCGCGCCCTCGCCCGTCGCCCCAGCCCGCGCCCTAGCCCGTCGCCCCAGCCCGCGCCCTCGCCCGTCGCCCCTGCCCCGCAGGCAGCGCGCCGCGCGGGTAGCGCGTCCCGCGGGTAGCGCGCCCTGCAGGCAGCGCGCCCCACCGGTAGCGCGCCCCGCAGGCAGCACACCCTGCAGGCAGCGCGCCCTGGAGCGCTTTAGCGCCAGAAACTAAATAAATTAATTAAACCCTAAAAAAAAAAAAAAAGGGTTTAGGGTGGGGGCCTGCAACTGTCGCGCGCGTTCCTGCTTGCCAGACGACCTGCACAGTTGCCTCCATCCCGCAGCTGTCAGTACTGCAGCCCCTACTAACGCAAGTACTTTTCACTGCCAGTGGCTCTACTAGCGGCAGCCGACACCCGCACTTACGGTCTCTAGCTCCGGCCGTTCCTACCTCCAGCCAGCCCTAGCTCGCCGTTTCTAGCTCCGGCCAGTTCTTGCTTCGGCCGTTCCTTGCCTAGTTTCACCTGGCGCTTCTAGCTCAGTTTACTCCGTGCTCCAGCCGTTCCTCGCCTAGTTTCACCTGGCGCTCCTAGCTTAGTTCGCTCCGTGCTCCAGCAGTTACTCGCCTAGTTTCACCTGGCGCTCCTAGTTGTTCTCGTTTTTCACTGCAGCCGTCCCTAGCTCCTGTCGCTCCTAGCCTGCCGCTCCTGCACCCCGCTAGCTTTTATCATGGAGTCCAATAGGGTTCTCCGGCAGCAGGGACAGCAGCAGCGGCCGTTTCAGCGGTGGCTTCCGCAGCAGCAGGGGCGCCCTCAGCAGCAGCTCTGCCCTAAGCAGCTGTGGCGCCCTCAGCAGCCGTGGGGGCCTGGTGGTTCGGGTAGCGTTGGCTACAGCAGCGGCCCAGCCAGCTGGGGGGCTCGCCGCGGTGGCCGCGACGTCGGCCCCTGCCAGTACCGGATCTTGACCGGCCCTGGTGCTGGCACTACCTGCTGGCGTCCTGACCACTCTACAGCCGCCTCGACGACCTTTACCGTGAGCGTTTTGGGCCTGAGTCGGCTCCCCCAATCTGGCCCGGTCTGTTTCGTAGTGGTTACCCTGTGTTTGATATGTCTATGGATGCTGTTTATTCTGTCACGTACGGATCTCTTGGCTTGCGTGTACCTAGCTTAGGACCTTTGCCTGTTGCTAGTGTCGGTACTTGTGCTTTTAGTGTAGGTGCTTGTGTAGTCACTAGACCAGCCGTGACGACTGCTGTTGCGTCGCTCTCCTTCACGCTGGACTCCGGGGCGTCTCAGTGCTTCTTCCGCGACCACACCACTGTCACACCTCTTTCGGCTCCAGTCCCAGTTGCCCTGGCTGAACCTACTTCAGGACCAGCAGTTGCTCGCAGCTCGACCACTCTCCCGTGCCCAGCTGTCCCCTCTGGTTTCCTCACTGGTCTCTACATCCCCTCGTTCTATCGGAACTTGGTGGGTGTTGGATACCTTTAGGACCGGGGGATCACAGTCACTTTTCCTGCGCACGGGAGGACTGCAATCTGTACGGACTGTCATAATCAAGCAGCAGGAATGGATGAACTATGAAAGAGTTGGGTACAAGTATGAAACCCTAAAAGGGGCTGTACCCCATATTGGCTACCCCACTACAGCCTACACATATATAACATGCATATGCTTTGACACACCCCCGTAGGCAAAGTGGGGGAGAGCAAGGGGTCACAAGACCAGTCCAGAGAAGCAAAGCAAGCTCAGGGTGGATCACAACGTCACCACACACACTGAGCACAAGCAGAGGGCCACAAGGCCAGTTCACATGCAGAGGTATATATGCAACAACAACAGCACAGTGATCTCTACCTAGCAGAGCAAGCATGCAGGTATATATATAGATCACAGTACAGGCAAAGTCTACAGCAAGTGAGGAAACGTGGGCAACAAGACTAGCGGCGTAGCCTAGACGACAGGCAGCAGCAGCAGCAAAGTCAACAAGCTCAGCAACTAAGGCAAACGTAGCACCAGACTCAAACGACGGGTCAGTGACAACAGTGGCTAGTAGACGCGTGACAGTAGGGTGCTCACCACGAAACCGGTCAGACTCAGGGTCCGCAACGACAGGCAGAGAAGACGCAGGAGGGGACGGCAGAGGAACACGCTGGGAAGGAGAGGAAGGACGACGGACTACGAGGTGGGTGTCGGGGACAGCCGGCTGACGCGGACGAGGAACACGACGACCGGAACGACCAGAACAGACAGGCGAGACAGGACGCGACTGTCAGAATGTTGTATTTGTCTAGCCTGCAGTGGGGTGCTCTATAGCGAGTACAGCCCAATCTAGGGTTTCCTATATGTACTCAACTGCTTGCTAGTGAAACCCCTCCTTTCTTCATTCTTACTTTCTACTGCTAGTTCTGACATGCTATCAGAGCAGGTCGATCCCCTTGGGTCGATCCTGTGGGTGGGCCCACCACCTCACTGCTTCCGCTGCTACTGCTACTCTGTGTGTTGCACACCCCGTGGCGTGCGACGGATTTTTCATCCCGCCGCGCGCTCGGAGCGTGCGGCGGTTTTCTGCCCGCCGTGCGCCCCGAGGCGCGCGGCGGTTTTCTGCCCGCTGTGCGCCCCGAGGCGTGCGACGGCTTTCTGCCCCGTCACTCCGCGCGTCGCTCCCGGGAGGCGCTGCGACGGGCGACGGGGACCCGCGCGTCGCCCCCCGTCGCCCGTCGCGGCCTGCTCGACCTGCGTAGGGCCCGCGCGCGGCCCGTACAGCCTGCGCGCGGCCCGTACGGGCTGCGCCAGGCCCGCGCGCGGCCCGTACGGGCTGCGCCAGGCCCGCGCGCGGCCCGTACGGGCAGCGCCAGGCCCGCGCGCGGCCCGTACGGACTGCGCCAGGCCAGGGCGCGCCTCGGGCCGCCCGCACGCGGTTCGTACGGGCTGCGCCAGGCCCGTGGGCGCCCTGTTTTCTCTGCCCTTGCGCTGCCCGCTGTCCCCCGTGCTTCTGACGGCGCCCCACCCCTGCTGCTGCCCGTTCTCCTGAATTAGGGTTTGGGGGTGGGGGGTATGGGGGTGCAGTTTCTGTGCGTCGTCCCCTGCTCCTCCTCCTCCTCCGTCTCCCAGTGCTGCAGCTGCCGCTGAGGGGGGTGGGTGTGTGGGAGCCGAAGGAGTGGTACTAGGGGGGTGACGTGCAAGTGGAGTTAGGAGTGAAGCAGTGGGTGTGTGGGGGGTGTGTGGGACAGTTGGAGGAGGTTGAGCGGAGGCTGCTGTCTTGTCGTCCGCAGCACCTGTAGTCCGGGGCGCACTGTCCTGGTAGCCCAGAGAGTC